AAATGCATGTATCCTGGCAGGATCATTTGCTTACCTGAGAGTCGAATTAGGAGATCTCGCCGCATTTATTACAGCAGGTAATATACTTCTCGAATCCATTGTCGGAAGTGCAGCAGTTGCTAGATCTTGGACTTCTTACTTCACTACCCTTTTGGACCGCCACCCCAACTCGTTACGTATACATACAAATCTCACCGATGGGTTCAACTTATTAGATCCGACTGCTGTTGGGGTTCTCATAATTGCATCGACGATTGCAATGACGAGTGCGAAAAAAACCTCATACTTCAACTGGATTGCATCAGCTGTCAACACAGTGGTGATTATATTTGTAATAATAGCAGGTTTTGCCCATGCAAAGACATCCAACTTAAAACCCTTTATGCCTCATGGTCCAGAAGGGGTCTTCCAAGCCGCAGCAATCGTCTACTTCGCCTATGGAGGATTCGACAATATTGCAACCATGGCAGAGGAAACTAAAGATCCAAGCAGAGATATACCTCTGGGGTTGCTAGGATCGATGTCGATTATCACGGTGATATATTGCTTGATGGCACTTGCATTGAGTATGATGCAAAAATACACAGAAATAGACACAAATGCAGCTTACTCTGTAGCTTTTCAGAATGTGGGGATGAAATGGGCAAAATACCTAGTTGCCCTTGGAGCTCTAAAGGGAATGTCGGAGCACTTGGGCAGGCACGTTATACGACATGATCCCACCGTGGTTTGCACTTGTCCATCCCAAGACAGGAACTCCTATATATGCAACAATCTTGATCTCTATACCGAGCGCGTGTATTGCATTCTTTTCAAGCTTGGATGTATTGGCTAGTTTACTGTCATCTTCACAATGATGGCGGTTGCGCTTCTTGTGAGGAGGTACTACGTAAGAGGAATCACACCTAAGAAAAATCTGGTCATTATTGCTTCTTCAATGGGGACTTGTGCATGTTGGGGAATTAATCCAGGAGGATGGGTCGGGTACACAGTTACCATACCCGTTTGGTTTTTAGGGACTTTGGCCACAAGAAAGAACACCTACAGTTTGGGGAGTTCCACTTGTTCCATGGTTTCCATCTTTGTCTATTGCTATTAATTTGTTTCTGATGGGAGCCAAGACATTTATAAGGTTCGGCATATGTACTGTTATCATGTTGGTCTACTATGTTTTTTGCGGCCTCCATGCTACCTACGACACGGCCCAGCAAATGAACGCTGAATCTGCAAAGATTAATAAGGAAGATGACGACAAAGAAGCCAAAGTCTAGCCCTTCAAATGAAATGGAGGTATTTCCAGCTCATCCACAATCTAGAACTTCTCCTGCTCCAAAATAAATATCATCAAAAAGAGCTTGATTATGTTTATATTCTTTAATAATGTTGGAATTTTGTATCATATCCTGTGTTTTCATATTAGCTGAAGAAACCAGACGAGCTTAGGTTTCTGAAGCAAAGAACATAAATTTCCAAGAGAATTAGGTTTCGGAATAAAATTACTCATGTTATCTGAAACCCGGAGGGCAGAGCGGGACTTCCTAAAATGATGCACTCGTCAAGGCCTTCAAAACACGCACATGATCACCCACTCTGATTGCCTTTCCTGTTTCTCCACTATAATTCGTGCACACCATAAACTGTCCCATGTAAACCTACAAAACATTTTACAACCAAAACCATGTTGATTATATTTTCCCTGGTGTTTCTGAGCACTAGGACGCAATATTTTGTCAGAACGGAACTTCATCAAAGTCTTAGTCGGCTCAGATCCCATTTCTGCAGTTTCTTGATTAATTGTGGGGACCTGAGATTACACTTGTATTAGATAATCCCCCATTTTATTGGTATCTATCTCCCCCATGGAAAACTAAGCCATTTATTTCAATCTCATCCCACAAATCCTCAGAGAAAGGTTTGCACCCATCAACAATGAGGCTGCCAAAGAAAAGCAAAACAAACACCAATGAAATGGAACATTAGCTAGCCCATTTCTGCATGGAACGGGATATTCATATTATGATGTCGGTTGAAAGATATATATAAGTACAACAAGGAGGCAAGCCAATTACTTGGCTCTAAATCTGTTGAGTGATACAGGTTCTGAGAGATGTTCGTTTAGTTCATTTACTGATTCCTGCAAGAGAATGAAGTATACAAAAGATCGATCTAAGATTCTTGTTCAAGGCAAATGTAATAGTTTTAACGTTTACCTTTTCTAATTGCACTTACTTGGGATACATATCGGTGAAGTTGACTGTGTGGGTAGAGTTTACAGGCCTGTAAGCAGATGCTGCATTCACAAAACAAGTACTGCTCATTTGATTTTTGATTCACACAAAGTTGAAACAAGATAAAAAATCATCAAATATTAGATGGACCGTCAATCAATCCAAGAAACAAGAAAATGTGGAGATTATGTATATAGGCAAAATAAATACATTCATCGAAACGAACTAGTCGACTGGGTTTCCCTAAATAATGAGAGAACCAGTTTGCTGCCACTGAGACACCGTCGGCCACTGCAGAAGGTACAGCTAATGGAATCTTCAGAGCATTCATACCAGGTCCATTTATCACTGTAAGAAGAATTGGTAAGTGTAAATAACTTGAAACAGGGGAAAATGTATATCAAGCAGTCATAATCTGTAAATTTAGTATATTTTCATAAGTTGAGTCAAAAAATATACTTCACCTAAGAAGGAGGTTTGATTAGGTATCCAGTCTTCAGGTGGCAAGTCTACTTGAATTAGGGCAAGTTTTGGTTACATCCTGCCTTTGGAGTTGATAACCATCCATAGTTGATCCCATCTTAATCCTCACCATTAACGATCATATTATTATTATATTATCGATCATTAAGAAGAACCATCAAATTGCTTTTAAGTTTTAACTCCATTCTTTCACTGTTCATGCTCCATCTTCAAAAATTTCAAATACCAATCACATCTCTACCTATCAATAATCTAGGAGAATTCATTGCTAGATCCTCATACCAGGTATACTTGATTCCATTATTCTACCACAAGATTGATTGCTCAACTACAGTACATCTTCCCAAAATTTAGACTAATTAACCAAATCCAAATTGCTTAAAACAATACACATTAGACAACCATTTTAAACATTACAAACAAGTAAACATGGTGAAATAAATAAAGCTTACATCAAGATACTTGGTATTGAAATTAATATCTCAAAAAGAAGTGCATCAGCAAACATAATGACGATACGATCTGAGCCTCCTAGCCTCTCGTTCAGACTCTAGCAAGGTGAGGATATCTCCTTCCCTAACAGGGCCTTTGACATTCCTCATTATGAAACGGTTATGATCATCGACCAAAAAAAAAGAGGAACTCTCACGAAATCAAGCTTAACTGGTAGCAATATTGATCAATGTCTATGGAGAAAGCACATTGAGACTCAAGCTCAAAATTATTAGAGAACCAACAAAAAAACCGAAATTAACCAAGAGACTAATGAAACAATGCTAAGAAAAGCTTGTCTAGAAAGCACAATAAACTTCCTCATCATTAGAATAACATTTATACTAACAAACTATGCAGACAGAGACTCGGAAACATGGACAGAGTAAGTAGCAGTATATTCGATGATGAAAAATCAGTTGGGGGAAGTTACATTCCTACCCTCTTTGACTTTTACAAATAAAAACTCCTTCCCTCCTTTTTTTGTGCAACTTTTATTCAGAACTACAATCAAGGCAAAGCTGGTACTATTCTTACTTGGAAAAAGTTTTAATTCAATGCTCCTTGTATATAAATATATAATCGTTGACAGTATCAGAAGACAATGAAAAAGATAAACTTAATATTAATTGATTTTAAACTTATCAAATAACTGATCTGTTATAACCATTTAGGTATTTCAGAATTATAGTTAGTGAGTAAACAGATTGTTAGATCAACATATGTATTTATTTAAGGACATGAATTTATAATAGAGATGATGAGCAACCTTAATTCTATATGAATTTCTTAACAGAACATACATAATATTATTATACATGAAGTTGCTCTCTATAAACTACGACTCTCCGCATCAATTTACAAAAAAACAGTGCAAATCTCCAACCTATAATTATCTCTGGACTTCATAGCAACCAAAACGGATGAGACATTCCACGCACTGAATCTTCAGACATTTTAGGTGTGAGGTGAGCCAAAATTCTCTTACAACCTTGTCTAATGATTAGAATAATATCCTTTCTTGGTAGATATCCAGTGCCTGAATAACCTTCTCTATGAATAATTTCCTGTGCAACCTATACCTGCATACAAGAAACCAACATCAAGTAAGCTAGATCTGAAAACTCTATACGACTATAAGTTTTATGAAAACTGTACATACTTTATTGCAGCTTCATGCGTCCTCGTAGCTTCAGGAATACACTCTACAACAATTAACAAATTAAACTTTAAAGAACAGGTTTACTGCTTTCAGAAATATATTATTATCTTCCTCCAAGAAAAGGAAATCAATTGATTAATATCAAACTTTAAAGAAAGCAGAATCTTTATTAGGTGTTGGCAAATTAAAAACCATCAACTATGTGTACCTAAAATTTTCTGATCTTGATCCACAGTTGTAGAAAATCCTGCAAGCATTTGCTGGCATTCTTCTTGCAACTCTTTTACAGCTTTCCTTTCCAAACTTGGTATCGGAGGGATGTCTCCGTCTGACCAAGTGGGTGTTGTTCTTGCAGCCGCAATAACCGCCCCATCAACAAACCGATCGTCGTCATAAGATAGCTTACCTGACATGGACCATAATCTCTATTTTGAGTCACAACAGAAATCAACTCATATTTGCTAATATAAGTTAAGCATCAAATATTTACGAGGAGGGTGTAAAATTACTATTGTGATAATAATCTTCAGGAAGACCAGATATATTGAAGACGGATAAAAACGAATCCAAATGAAACCGTGCATTGCCAGAGAATTGGATAACATCCCAAGGATTCTGCAATATTCATGTCACATAGGTATAGTATTAGAAGAAATTACCAAATAAACCATAACAAATTTGACGTCACTAAGACTATGCAAAACCTTGGGAGGTAGTCGAGCACATTAAAAGTAAACACCAAAACGTGAGATGTCAAACAGTACTATTTTTCTTCTCTTGTTAAATGTTGCCTACCATACGAGTCATGTAAAATATAGATCATTGAAGGAAATCCAGCCTTAAAGCAAATGCTTCTGTCAACTAATAAGTAAAACAAAACTGACCCATTACTTAATACTGAGACACACACACACACACACACACACAAACAAAAAAGAATCAGAACAGGTGTCAAAAGACTAACCCAGACGATTGATTTTTTTAGCATTTGAAGTCTAATACGAAACCAGGGTACTGACAAAAATGTTTTACTTATTGTTTTCGTGCATTTTCTCGATCATCGGACATATTTGAGCAACATATGACACAAGTTTTATTTTTATGGGAGGGCAGCTGTTACTATACTATTGATGCTAAGAGATAGGCCAGGGATGAGAATCATGATTTTAGCAGTTATCAACTAAAAGAGTTGATAGATAAAAAATTACCACTGGAGATGAAAACCCATATCTTTGCATGAAAAGGTTATTCATCTTTCCGTCCATGTAATCAACTGTCATCTGCATAGATATCACAATTATGAAAAGTAAATTAAAAAAATGTGACAAAAAGACTGCTCTGCTTGCCAAATGCATCATAGGGACAGAGACAAATCATCCTAATAAATCTTCACAAACGCACTTTACTATACTTCCATTGGTTATAGGGCCATTCAAGAATATTCATTTAAGCACCAGACCTTAATGTTTTCTTTTAATCATTTCCAAAATCTTTTTTTTTTAAGGCATTTCACTTCCGCATCTTTCTCAGAAATATCTACCAAGCAATAGTCTCGCTTCACATGTTTTCCCAAAAAATATTTGAAGTGGTACAGATCCTTCAGACATAACTCTTCATATCATCTTACAGCTAAAGAACTGCTAGTCTCGACTATATATCAATGGGGCTTCTGAATAACAAGAAATAATTAAATGTCAATTCTCATAAGAACATTCCTATTGAGCTTATTGATGGTTGAATATGTATGGTTTTTTAATGGTTTTTATGTATGGATTTCCAACAAATACATATTTGTTTCATCAAGAAGCATGTAGCATTGCATACCTCGTCTCCTTTTTTTATTTTTTTCCCAGCATTTATCATCACCTCAAGCATTCTATCCTTGAAGCGCCAGTGGAAGAAGCAATTTGGCTCAAAAGAATGATTTAACATATCTGCAGAAAAAGGACAATCACAGTCGATTATGAACAACATATTTTCTGATCATCTGCAGTGAACCTACTTAACAACAGTAAAACTGGAATTTTTAGTAGTTTGATTTATGAAACTAGTAGGTTCTGAAATTCGATCAGCTCAGGACGTCAAATCTATATATATTAAACAACAGTTCATAGTCATTTAGACTCCTGTGAGTGACGCCTCAACTTTGGCCCGAGTAAATTCCTATTTATTCTAATACCATGTAAAAGCAGCCATAGAAAAATCCTTGCAACCAAGGTAGTGAGCAAGTTTGAAAAATTTGCTGAAAAAAGAAAACAATTTCAGAGAGGCTAACCAGCATAAGGTACAAGCATATTCGAATCTTGAACTAAGGCACCAATTCTTATTTGCTTGTCGATACATCGAGATTGTGCTATACTCAATGCCCACATGAATCTCTCCGGCTCTGGAGCAAGGCGTTTTACTTTAAGTGGCACGGCAGAGTGCTGACAAGTAAAGCGTTAAAGTTGAGGAAGGGATTTAAAAACAACAGTGGAGACTAGAAAATGGAATAATAAAAGAAGCTTCATACCCAATTTTTCTCCCAAAATTCAAGAGCTCGGCGTTGCTGTTCTCTCAAAGTGGAAGCAAGTTCCTTATCCTGCAACTCCAAAAGGTCCTCCTGCGATTGGTCAAAGTTGGAGTAAACAAAGCATCTCAGATAATAAAACAAGGTGATATTAGAAACATGGAACTTCTATACTTGGATCTACTTTTAAATATTTGCGAGTGATCTATGTGGAAATCAAACCTCTGTAGCTAGAAGAAAGCTAGTACACTCGTCTGGACCGGGTAAAAAATCACCATACAGCTGCCAGAAATTACCCTTGCAATCAAATGCATAGAGAAGAAGACATGCCATCCTCAGGTCCCAATCTGTCTGACATAAACCAAAAAGTGTTATATATATTAGGAACTGCAATATAAGATCGGCCAGTCGCTAAATGTGCTCTCGACTAAATAGACAGAAAATGTGTGTAGAGGGCTGAAATTCCTTAGAGAGTGATTTGAGTCACCCTAGGAAAATATAATTTCCATCTGTGAAGAAAATTTAGCATCCCACATTTACCTCAGGATTAGTTGAGTTGATGATGTCAAAGATAGGATGACCCACTGGTATGATATCGGGGAAAAACATCCAAGGAAGCTTTTGACTAATAGTTAACATCAGTTCTAGTGGAATCTCCATAATCACCTACACAGTCAAAGATGCATTACGAACATCAGGACCTTCTCTTAATTCAATTCCATAGAACATTATATAACGAAGCACATAAATTCTTGTCCAAATAGTACTTATGCCACAATGAAAGAGGAAGTACCCTGGCACGACGAAGAGCCTCAATGTCTTTGGAGGCATATACTCCGAAACCATCAGGACCTTCTCTGAATTCAATTCCATAAGCTCGCATACTTCTAACATATCCTATCTTATAAAAATCAGGGTCTGCTGGCTCCAACTGTAAACAGGTAATCAGTACTTTTTGTCTCCAAAAAAGATAACACAAGGAAGGGTTACAGAGATATTGGTAAAATAAAATGCTTGCATTCAAAAGCACACATCAAATATAATTATGTGCAAAAGGTCATTTGGTACTAAATAGTTGCTCTTAAACATTAATTACACTGAAATATTATGAATACAGGTCAATGTGGAAACATAAATTCGGCAGCGAAAGACGTAGCAAAAGGTAAAATAAGTACCTGAGTAGCAGGAGTAGGTTCCGGAGGTAAAGAGGGCTGAAAAAGCGGGAAAGTAGAAGTAGAAATTGGAGATGAATCAAGTGAAGAAGAAGTTTCATCGGCAACCATAACAGCTGTGACAGGTATGACGGATCTAATTCTGCACTTGCACACACTGATGGGAGGTAGCGCATTAAACTTGTGTAACTGTAAAGAAATAAGTAGTAGTTAATTAACTCCAAATGTAAAGAAGTATTGTACAAAGATGAAGAGGAATGGAGGGGCGGAGGTGTGGTGACTGACCTGGTGGTGATGGTGGTGGTTAAATGCAGTATGCCGTGATAAGGGGCAAGTAGTATTCAAAAAAAGGGACAGTGTT